GATGAGAGTGCAGGGTGCAGGGTGCAGGGTGCAGGGTGCAGGATGCAGGGTGCAGGATGCAGGGTGCAGGGTGCAGGATGGGTCAGGGATGGCCCCCACCCTCCAGGACGTGGCAGTGTGCCAGGACAGCCCTGGCAGGGGAACAGCCCGGCCCGGGGGTCCCCCACCCCCTGCTGCCCCCTTTGCCAAGGCCAGCTGTCCTGGAGATGCGCTGGTGCCCCCCGTGCCCCTCTGCCGGGGGTTGTGCCCAGCATCCCGGCACGGCTGCAGCCTGGGGACCCCGGGGACGTGCCAGGCACTGCTGCTGCAGCCACAAACCTGCCTGGTTACACTCAGAAACCGTCAATAGCACTTACAGGAAGATGAGTCAGCATCGACTGGCTCTCAGCTCACAGGGGCTTTTAAAGAGAGCAGGTATGGAAAGGGAAAGAATGGATACTTACACTAATTGCCTGCTCTGCACAAAGAGTCATGGCTGTACCTCCGTCTGCCTGGTGTAAGTAGCTGTCCAAAATGCTCTGAAATAGCATAGTTCATTGTTGAGAAAAAAAAACACTCTTCACTTAAGAAAGAAAAAATGTAGCTGAATTACACATTCAATATAAAGACAATTTCCTGTTCCCCTTTGGTTTTTTCAGCCTTAAGTGTTGAATGCCAGAATGCCACAGGCTCACCTTGGGTGTTTAGGGAAAAATACAGGAAAATTTTTATCCACTTAGTGAAAATTGTGAAATTGTCATTTCACTTTGTGAAGAATATGCAGAAATGCCCAGGGAGGTGTGTGGGGCACGGGCAGGTCTTGTCTCCTGTTCCAGCCTGATTTCTCAGCTGAGGGTGGATGGATTTAGTGATGCTCTTTTACTGGTGCCAGCAGCAGGAGCGGGAGGAGAGCTCCGTGGCTGCTGCCTGAAGGAGTTGCAGGGCTCTATCCCCATGGTGTGAAGCGCAGTTCCTGCAGCACAAAGGTGCAGCTGCTGCCCCTGCACACATCCCTGGGGAGCGTTCCACCTCGGCCTGCTCTCCTGGGATCACTGCAGGGCGAGCAGCAGCACGGACACGTCCCAGCATCGCCTGGCTGCCCTCGGGGTGAGGGAGGGCAATCCAAGCAGGTGTGCAGAGCAGAAGGATGGAGGTCACTCACACCCTTCGTTCCTCCTCAGCCCAGTGTCCTGCCCAGCGCTCGAGCTCCAGGGCTGGGTTCCCCTTCCTCATTGCAGCAGCTGCTGAGTTCATGAGCCAGCAAACTGAGACAGGGATCAGTCTCCTGCTGGACATTGCCTGTGAAGCAAATCCCACCCAGCGACTCCCCACATGGCAATTGCCACACGGACAGTGAGAGAGCTCATCTCTCTGCTCCCAGAGAAGGAACACGCAGGAGCCACAACAGCTGTGCTGTGATCCTGCCTCAGCAGCAGCTGCAGGCTTGGATCCCACGCCAAAGCCCCTGTAAGTCAGCAGAGATGTCTCAGGGACTGGGGGCGAGCCACAAAAGGGCACAGGGTAAGGAGCTGGGCTTTGATCTCAGAGGGAGAGTGGAGCTGCTGCTGCTGCTGCTGCAGGAGCCCTAAAGCCTGAACGCCCCCTAAGCCTCAGCCCCCAAAGCCCAGGCCCCCCTGAGCCCCCCTCTCTCTCCTGCAGACCGACCACATCATCTCGGAGCACCAGCACCTCCCGCAGCCCTGCCTGGAAGTGGATCCCTCGTACAGAGCCCTGCGGCTGAAGGCCTGTGACCCCACAAACCCCCACCAGAAGTGGCACTTTGGCAGGTACCACGCAGACTGAGGGCAGCCCAGCTGCTGTCCCCACGCTGTCACCGTGGGCTCAGCGAGGACATGGCAGCCACCAAAGGGGGAGTGCATTTCCAAAGGAGAACTGGCACCTGTGGTTTGGTACCGGCACACGGAGGATCCGAGCACCGGGAGCAGCACGTCGGGTGTGACAGTGCCACAACAGATCAGGGCCATTCTCCCTCCCCGTACGAGACTTTGGGAAAAACTCCTTTTCTCTATTCTTAAATGGAAATATTTTTCTAAGTCCCCATCCTACTGTGAGCAAGCATCCCTCAGTTCCCCTGGACAGCGGCATAAGCTCCAGAAACACTTCCAGGGCCCCAGAAGTCTGTAAGCAGCAAACTGGGCTGCTAATTCCTCCACAGAAACTGGAATTTTGTTGACCAGTGCATCAAAAAAATCGAACACCGTGTCCACAGTGGATCTGGCTGCAGGATGCCTCCCCATGGGACGTGTAGTGTGACAGGTGAGGATCAGGGCTCTGTGAGGAATCAATTGCACACCAATAAAGCCCTCATTTTATAGTGGGAGGTGGATGGGCCCAGCCCCACCCCGGGGCTGCAGGAGAGGCCTGGAGCACTCCTTCCCTGTGCCAGGGACAGCAAGGACACACGTGTTTTGCTTTGTTTGGTGCTGGAGCGGGGAACCAGAGGTTTATCCTGCTTCTTGCCAGAAGCACGTTCCAGGGGCCAACCTGGAAGCTCTTCATCCCAGGGCAGCCAGGTTGTCCCACCCTGGGGCTGCCAGGACCCCAGCCATGTCCCCCAGCCCCCGTGGCTTTCGGGGGGCTCTCCAGGAGCAGTGCTGCTCCCCTCAGCCCAGGCTGCACGGCACAGCCAGGCTCTGCACACCAAACCCCTCTGGGCTCACTGCCATGGACAAGTGTTGTTTGTACTGTGAAGTTCTTCATCTCCAAAATCCATCACCAGTCACCAACGGGATGGATTTGATGAGAGAATAAACTCTGTGTGCCAAGGTTGTGAGATCCAGCCTACAGCAGGGAGGGTTCCTGCCCCCGTTCCCATTGGGAATTCCTGCTGTGGGATGCTGCTCCCTGAGCCCTGTGGGGCTGCAGTGGGAGGCAGCGCTCCTCCTCCTGCCCCTGCCCTGTGCTGGGCCCAGGGGCTGCTCCAGCACAAGCCCCAGTGTCCCCGGGCTGAGCAGGGCCCTCGCTGCTCACGGTGGGCACAGCCGAGCCCCCAGAGCAGCCTCACGGCCCCACCCGCCACAGCGCTGCCTCTGAGCTGCTGGATCAGTGCTGACAGCATCTGACAGGCTCAGTCTGCCAAAATATTGACTGGCCCAACAGATTTTCCCAGTTGACTCCTATTCCAGCTGTCTTCCTGATTTTCTCTCCCTCCTTCAGCGCAGCTAGCCCGCAGTCACCATCAGAAAAATGACACAGCCGTCGTTTGGGCAGTCAGCTCGTATCAGGAGCATGGATTTCATCAAATTCTGTTTGCTGACATTCAATCACTTGTCAGGGAGCAGGCAGTCATATGTCACGGTCACATCCCATCGGCAGCCCTGTCACTCGCAGGCGCTGCCCCCCGGTGTAAATGCTCAGTTCCCCGCTGGATCTTCGCTCGGGGACCGGGGGCTGCCCGGGGGCTGCTGGCACTGAGCTGGGGCTCTGCTGTTGCTCAGTTCTGAGAGCATTCCCACGGCACCAGTCAGCCCAGTCTTCCAGAAAGGAGAGCATTTTTGCGGCCGTGCCGCTGCTCCCGGCTGGGCTGGGCTCCTGCAGCGGCACCAGGGCTGGAGCATCCCCTGGGCGGGGTGGGGACCCGGTGGCCCCGGTGTCACACCGCTAAAAAACAAAAGGGACAATAAATGAGAGTAGGTGAAGCTGCTTCCCCTGAGCGCAGGGTGCTAAATCCGAGCAGCTCGGAGCCTCTCTGGGGGCTCCCCCGAGTTCCTGCCCGGCTGAGCCCTAAAGCATCGCCCCAGGGAGAGCCTGCCGAGCAGCAATTGCCCCGACGTGTGGCTCCTGCTGGGTGGAGGGGAGGGCAGCAGCTGAGCTCTTGCCGCAGGTGTGGCAGCTGTCACCAGCACTGTCCCCACCGCTGTCACCTGCCCCAGCCCGCAGCCGGCACGGCAGGAACGAGAACAAGCACTTTCGGGCTGTGGCTGCCGGGGGCTGCCCGAGGGTGCCTCTGCTCCAGGGCCGCGTTTCCAGCTCCGTGCCCGGCCCCTGAGCACTGCCCGCGGGTCCAGCACCTCCCCTCTGCCCCAACCCCACCGGGCTCACACCCCCCGGCGGCTCGGATGCCCCCCGAGCATCCCGGCACTTTCATTTTTTCACCTTTTCCACCCAGGGAAGGGCTCCCAGGCCCCCCGAGCATCCCGGCACTTTCATTTTTTCACCTTTTCCACCCAGGAAAGCAGGAGAGGGCGCTGCGGCTGCAGCAGAGCAAGCGCTGCTTCGCAAGGAAGGAAAAAGCGAGCCCAGGGTTCGGAAAGCCTTGGGGAGCCTTTCCCAGCCAGAGCTCAGGGGGTGCTCACAGAGACTGACAGAACCGGAGTGGTTCGGCTTGGAACGGACCTCAAAGCTCCCCTCGTTCTGTCCCCTGCCATGGGCAGGGACACCTCGCACTGCCCCAGGAGCTCCCAGCCCTGAGCAGTGTGGCCCTGGCTGGGACCACCACGGGCTCCTCCAGAGGGACGTGTCACCCCCAGCAGCTGTCAGAGGGAACAGACACACTCTATAAGTCGGTACCAGCGAAGCTCAGAACTTCCTCAGGCCAAGGAGCGAATAAACAAGTGTGAATGGCACAATGAGGGCTATGTCTGCCGGCACAATGCAGAATTGCCCTGTATTATTTTCACGTTGCCAATAAATAATTGCCTTTATGTAGAAGGAGAAAAGTCAAAGCGATATTCAGTGCTGCTGGAGACGTAAAACTAATCCTTAAAAAGGCACTTATGGCTGCAGGAGGCCACTGTATAACTCCATCCTTACCTCCTCTCCCTTGCCAGCTGCTCTCAGCTTTCCCAGATTTCTGGGATGACAAGTGCAAAGCTAAGTCCCAACTCCAGACAAATCTGACTGCAAAACAGTTTAAAAAGATTGCCATCACTGCATGGTCACAAAGGTCTTTTAAAGTGGAGAAGGGTAATATCCAGGTGAGACAAAAATAATGGATTAAAACTCACCTGCTTTTGACAAAATAATCTTTTCAATTTTGCGATTTTAGGATGAAAATCTAGCGGACACCTAAGGGACTCTGACTGGGTGGCACTGGGACAAGAGGTGTTCCTGGCAGTGGCCAGGCTCACCCAGGCACGGGCAGGGAGGTGCCAGGGCTGCCAGCCCAGAGCCCGGCTGTGCCCCTGGAGATGGCAGCGGTCACCGGTGCCACTGGCCCAAAGCCACCCAGGCTGGCAGCACGGCCAGCCAGCAGCAGCAGCAGCGCCCACAGCTTCCCCCGGGCCTGGGGACATCCTCAGCAGAGCTGGGGACAGGCGGTGCTGGCACAGGGAGGCACTCAGGGCACCGGGACAGACAGACTGAGAGGCAGAGCAGGGGTGGCCAGCAGCCGTCCCCTCTGTGTCCCCTGCCCTGGCAGTGTCACCACTGCCACACTGCCAGCTCGTTATGCACAGCTGGTGGTGTGGGACAGCCTGGGGAGCCCCAGCCAGCTCCAGCCTTCCCGTGGCCTCAACACGGCTACAAAGGTACAGAGAAAATAAGAGAATAACCTTCAAATCCACTGGGTGTGTATTTAGCAAACTGATTATTTATTTTCCTGCGCTATGGATGCCTCTGCCCCGTCAAAGCCGAGATGTTAAATTTTCACAGTGTATTATAAATCATGTACAAAAAGAAGAAAAGCAGTGACCTTGTGTTGTGTGAAGAGACTGCTTTTGGGGGAGCCCAGAGCAAAGGCTCTTCCCCCTCAGTTCATAAGTGCATCATGGACTCAAACTCGTCGATCCGCTGCTTGGTGTTTCCTTTACGGATCCTCCGGTAGGAGATTGTGTTGTATCTGGAGTAGCTGTGTCTGGAGATGTCGTTCTTTTTCCCCAGGCTGGGCTGCTCGCCCCCTTTCTCCAGCGGGGAGTTGCAGCCGGGGCTGCCGGGGGGCGATGCTTGTTTGCCGCTGTCTCGCTGCTGCAGGCGGGGCGCCTCGCTCTTCCCCTTCTTCATTTCAATCACCTGGACTTCATCCTCTTCCGTGTCCTCCTCCTCCTCCTCCTCCTCCTCCGCCTCCTCGGCCGCGTTCCCTCTGGGCTGGCCGCTGCCGGGGGGGGTCTCCGGCTCCTCCGTGCCGGGAGCGGCCGTGGCTGTCCCCGCTGTGCCACCCGGCCCTGCGCGACACGGGGACACGGGG